GTGTTGTAGGTGTACACTGAGGATATCATTTGGTTACTATGCAATAAATTTACATTTATTTATTACATTCATTTATGTGAAGTCCATAAAAAGCATAATATCCGTATGTGTTGAATATATAAGTTGAAAAATGTGCATGATAAATGAAGTGAAACGTTGGCGTAAAAGAGAAACGAGTCGAAGTGAGTGTGTGTATATGAGTGAATGAGTGTGTGCGAATGAATAATCTACAATAGAAAATGTGAAATGAGATAGATGAATGTGCAGTGATTGATTGTGTTTGCTGAATATCGAATCAAACGACTACATCTAGCTATTATTCATACCTTGCACCTTCCTAACTAGCAGCATCACACTACCTCTGCATTAGTATTAATATCTGTTATCTGTATTTGTTTTGTTGTTCTCACCTCATCATATCAAAATCGAAATCAAATCATATTCTATTGTGCAACGACGATACACATCACCATGCCATCATAGTCTGGATGGTTCCATAAAGTGTATTCTCCTTATTTATTTGTCAGTTGCCGTATTCAGTCCTTATTTTGTCAGTTGTTCTCAATCACTTGCACAACTTCTATTAATTACAGTCACAATCCATTTCTTTTTGCAATTCAACTGCTCCGTAATAATCATCGTGCAGTGTTTATTCGAACCAATTGCTGTTGCTCATTGTCATAAATGACTCTCAAAAAACGTCTTCGTAATGCTAGACGGCGTTTAGCGTGTATTTCGTCCCGTCCACCAAGGTACGTCGCACTTCCGCATTCGTTATCATTGAATATCTTATCTGCCCTCTGTGCATGTGCTTTTCGTTTTCATATATACATATTTAAGTCATTCATTCGTAGGATTTTGTCCATTCAGATCAGCGAATGACTTTATGAGCGATATTTATTTATTTATTTNNNCTTATTTTGGCCATTTCAAGGTTTACTCACATCTTCGTCGTTATCGAACCAATGCCAGTGCTCTCATGAAATTATCATTACCGCTGTCCTTTCAGTTTGAACTAAACTTTTGCACGCTTAACGCAGTTGCATGCTTAATATGTCTTCGAATTGATGTGCATCCTTTCAAAAACTTCATCACTGATAATAAGCGGCCATCTGTGTTATCGTTGATATCGGATCAAACTCATTCCACGCTGTCATTTTCTCGATTTCACATACTTTTAGCAGTCTGTTGTTATGAGTCATGAGCAACCTTCTGACAATGTTGTGAATCACGGCCAAACCTTGATAACATCACACGCGAACCAATTACGAATTTGCTCTGCCATATTCCTGTTGTGAATATACAAAAACAGTTTGCTGTTATTGGATGAATGAGCAAATTTTAGTTTAAATTCAATACAAATAGTTCACGTCCTCCGAGAATTTCCTGTAGTGTCTCGCGCTTAAATGCTTAAACTGATACTACGAAAGTGTCACAACGTTACAAGAAATGCCCCAGCCAGATGCATACAGATGATCCGTAATCCGCAGATTACCGGCCACGTTTCCATGTATGTGAACGATCTTTTCAGTGTTTTGAAGTTAATGTTCAGCGGTAAGGACATCCCTTACCAGGCGTCTGGCGTGACTTGTTAGAATTTTCACGAAGTTTTTGCAGACGCTGATAATGAGAGAATCGTTCATCTAATAAACAGCTCATTCAATGCAGTATTTTGTCGTTCATCAGAGCGATTTTTTTGATCTTGAATTCATCAAAAATGTGTCGATTCGTCAAATGAGTAACGAAAGAGATTATAACGTTCGGATTATTTAGTCGCCCATATATTATTAATGCGAGCGATTAAAAGAAATGTCTATTCAGTCGATTTGATAAATGATAAATTGCATTTTTTGAAGTGATTTTTTGATTCATCGCAGACCCTTTTCATATTCAAGTTCAGTCAGTTCGTATGCACTTGATATACTTTTGGAGTTCTAGTGATCACAGTAATAATTCTTTAATATTACATCCAAATGAATAAAATATCAAAAAAAACAGTTTGTTTTTATCACTTTTTCTCTTCATCTTTCCGATATATTTCGTCATAAGGAATCACCGAACTTTTTTGTATGGTATTTCATTGAAACATCCTTCTATGTGTGTTCGATTGATATTCCCAGTGATGAAGCCAATTCCCGATTCTGAGAGAGTGCTAACATCCAAAAGCTTTTTGCAGTTATATTTTATATCAATAATTTCTCATTTCATTTTTTTTTGGTCGTTTTGGTTTTTCTTTTTCTTTCTATCCGAAACTTGAAGTTGTCAGATGGTTAACGAAAGTTTGCGAAAAGTATTCTTATCAAAAGGTACAGAAAGTTCATTATGATAGTTTTGTTCATTTTTAGGATAACGTCAAGGCGATTTTTGTAAATTTCTGTTATGAGACCATTTTGTAATAATTTGTTTGCACATCTTCCTTCCCTCTGCGGATCCTTGCAACGCTTTTTTTATTCTTTCATTCACTCTTAAAGTTTTTGTCACTTGTCTGCTATATGTAAACTTTTTGAATTTAATGTCATTTATCGTCCATCGTTTAGTGTTCGTTGTGTTGTCTTTTGAGTGTCGTTGGAAAAATGTGTTTTTGTCAGTTGATGCTACTAAACAGCAATTGGTTGATAGTTATAGTTACTTGATAAGTGATGATATGATGAGTAATCATAGGAAACAGTTTGCTTCTATTTCGTCTGCAAAGGGAGTGAATTCTTTTAAGGAAGAGTTGGTATTTTGTACTCTAAGGTGACAAACTTAATGTGCAGTGATTCTTGTCAAAACAGATCTAGAATTCAAATAGTAAATGCTCGACAGGAGGTGATGAATGGTTGTTGAGAATGTGAAGATGACAAACGTAAGAAAGGATTGTTGAAGGAATCAGACAGAAGTGGGACAAGCATGTCGTGGCAGTATCAACCTGCAAGAGGCACGTATCCATACCGATAATGCCACCAACAGTCTTACAATAACAGCATCTTCACAAACTTTCCATTTGAAAGCTCAGAACGAATGTGATCGTAAGCAATGGCTCACGGCACTTGAATATGCCCGGCATCGTGCAATCCGTGACGCTGAATCTGGTCAGATTTAATGCAATATTTCAGCGTTTTTTTTTTCGATGGAGACTTTACCCAGTTCGATTATTTTTGTAAAGACTTTTCGGTTGTACCTAATTAAGAAGCCGTCTCATTTTCATGAATGCCTTATTCACATTATGTTGTGCCTCACCATTATTTGCGTTGTTAACTTGTGATTATTTATCTTTGTTGAGCACGTTTACTCGAAGGTGAGTAAATTTCAGATGAAGATGAAGACATGAAGATGAATAGTGCATCAAATGGTGGAATGATCGCTGTTGATCATATGAATAAAGCACTTTCAGCAAAATTGGATGATTTACGAACATGTAACAAACTGATTGGTTAGCGATNCATATGAATAAAGCACTTTCAGCAAAATTGGATGATTTACGAACATGTAACAAACTGATTGGTTAGCGATGTTTCACGTTGTCGTTGCATTATCAGCTTTGGTCTTTCATTTTATTTATGCATTCATTAATTTAATGGTCACTCATAACTTCACAAATGTTTACATTTCTGTCATCGATAATCAGCCTTTTTATTTTCTTTGATTTCTTAGCATTAAAAAAGCATATGCTGTTCCTCATTTAACCGTTCTCCATCTATCAGAAATTCTCATCGAGTCTGGAATTAATCTTGAAGTTCAACGATTAAGTTGTTGCCGTTCTCGTTAATAGATCGAATATCCATCATCATTACATCACTGTTTGCTCTCACCAACATTGCTTTTTAATGCTGATATTTCGTTTTTTTCACCTTAACGAATACATGAGTTGTTGTTCAGAGTGGTTTTCGATCTTATATCATTCATCACGGTGTAAAGCATTCGTCCTCATTCATTCCTTCCCATAACATTTGACTCACATCAGTTCTTTTGTAAGGGCTAAAATTATGTGTAAATATCTACTGGCGCTGTTCTATAGCTTTACATTTCTCTTTGTTCAGTTTGTTGAATGCATTCAGATTGGTGTATCTTTGATAAGGTTTGAACAAACATAGGATTGTTTATTTGACTGTAGAACTGAGAAATATAATATGAATCAAACGATTCGAAATGCTTTATGAATTATTCATGTGAAATTCATTCATTAAATGTGTGTGTNTGTGTGTGTTTAATTTTTTCGTACTAACCACATTCTACGAGAGGGTAGGTTCATATTGGTGAGAATAACGATAGCAGCAGTTTCGTTAATCTCATCCTTATTATTTGTACTGGTCATTATTAACTGTTGCGATTGGCATTAAGAATTGATAATAATAATGATGATGGATGGAATTTAGCAAAACATGGAAGTGAGTTAGCACGTGTGGTGAATGAATTGGAACAGAATGAGAAGACAAGGATTCTGAGTGAACGGATATCACTGTTCAAAATAACTGCTGCAGCGATGCTGAATGCTTGCGATGAATTTGTGAGTATGCTTGCAAAGGTGCGTGCGATCATTCAAATATTAGCACTACTAGTTCACTATAGGCATTTATTGCTGATTCAGATATTTGTAAGTGGATTATAGGAAACACGCAGAATTGGTCGTTATGCGGCAAATGAACATGAACAGCGGATACGCTTACAAGATCAACTCGAGGAACTGGCTCAACAGCACAGCAATCTCGAGCGGGCCGCGTATCGAACTGCCAGAGAATCAGATTTCAATTCTGAAACTGAACCGCGTTAGTCTTACCACTTTTCAACAAAATTTCTAATTTCCTTCTGATTTGTCTTCTTCTATCACATCGTTCCGTTTGATCGAAATCTGATATGTGCATGAGTGCATATTATATGGAATGAGCAAGGATAACGTGGAGAAAACGGAATAACGATAGGTTTCGGCATCATTTGTACAGTTTTGATGGAGAGAAGAGAGAGCTCTTGATCGATCGTTTGATTGCGAATGGTGAATTGGTGAATTCGAGTTAGGTGGCGCGTCATTCATCTAGCCGCAGTTAAGCAGTACAACATTCAGATTACGAATTCGATTGCAATTGCTCATTATTAGTAATTTATTGTTGGTTGCATTTGAATTGGTCAGCATTTATATCACGATTACTTTCCAACAGATGCATTCAGTGGACGTTTCAATTTTATGCATTGAAAAAGTTCTTTTGCTATCCATTCCAAAACGAAAAACGAATTTCGATAAATTTCATTACGTGTACAAAAATGCTTGTTTGTTTGTATAGTGGAAATTAATCAGCAGAATCATCTTCATTCAATTATTTTTGCTGATAACGGATTTTGGTCCATCGTTTTTGAATTAGTGCAATGTGAATTGAGAAGGCATTCAATTGGCGAAGTATGAATGTATCACAGAGCCATTATGTATTTGCAAATCAACTGGTGATTTCAACAGCTTCCAATCTCAGTTGGTGTTCACGAAGAAACATTGATTTCTCCGCAAATGAAATTGATGTATTCGTTATTCGCAATGCACTCAAACAGTATTCATTGTCTGAGCCGTGAAGTATTGACAACAAAGGCATAAGCGACGTGCAAATTTGCATGCATGATGGAATTCATCATCCGTTCGCTCGAAACACGAAACCATTTCGAATAAGGTGTTGAATTATGTCCACATTTTGTTGTCTTGTTCAGCTTACAATTAGCAGTCCCACATTAATTATTTGACAATTGCGTTAATAGTCATTTATCTGTAGTTTGCTTGCGAATAGTCAATTGGCAGCATGCGATGCAAATGCATAAATTCAATGGAACATTCNTAGTCATTTATCTGTAGTTTGCTTGCGAATAGTCAATTGGCAGCATGCGATGCAAATGCATAAATTCAATGGAACATTCCAATATTTCATCAGAATGCGCCTATCGATTCAGTTACAGTTGTCTTTCAGTTTGAGCCAGTTTCTTTTATGTTTGGGCATATTTTTTGGCCTGAATAGTTGCACTTTAAAGTTTTGAATAGAATTTTCTAGATGAATCATATCGATGAAAAAAAGGTGAATTGAAGCGAAATATCTCATTGAATCGCAGTATGTTCATTGAATTGTTCGTTAGAAGCCTCAGTTTAATTGATTTTTGAAATGTATTGAACAAACTCATATTTTCGTCATTCCGCTGTTCCCAGTTGAAATCTTCCACTTTTTGTGCATGCCATATTATGGATGGATCAACCGAATTAAATGCTTTATTGAATGGTTTTTCCTATTTTATGCTCGCCGTTTAATTTTATGCTCGTAAAAGAGTAACACGTTTCGAGCAGCCATTGCTGACGCTTCTGTTGTGGAGAGTGGTATTCGGATTTTTGTATGTCTTTCTTCTCATTGGAACATGGAAGAATTGGTACCAATCTGATATTTGCTTTCTTCTTTTGATTAGATTGGTGTATGAATCACCTATCGCACGTCAAACGAACTGAATTGAAAAACTGATGTGAGCTGATTTGATTGGAGTGAAATCATTTCATGAAAGGGGAGAAGTTTTGTAATGGGGAATGAAATTTGTGGAATAATCGATTTCCAAGAATTTGGTGATTGTGA